TTTAATAAAACTAAAAAACAAGTAAATTACACACAAATTGAATATGCTTACCTCTAGAGTGAGGCAGGCAGAGGATGGGGAAGGGGAGGAGTCCATAGGTAGGTATAAGTCATGGTAATGTTTTAAGTTTCGGAATGGACATCAGCTTTATTGGAGTTCATTATATTTTTTAATAAAAAAACTCGATATGAGACAATAGAGAGAGAGCATCTAGCATATTGCACTGCACATAGTGGACATTTAATAATCATTATTATTGTGTTGGGATATGATATGTTTTCCTTTATAATTCATCTCCTTTCTCCATTTCTCTCCCTACTCCCCATTCATAGCCTCTCTGTTGAGACTATGATATGAGGCCGATTTGAAGGTTCATTGCATCAGAGAAAGGGGAGGGCAATTCACCTAGAAAAAAGCATTCATGTTTACCTTTTAGTTTTAAAAATGGTTTTTAAGGTCAATAGCAAGACAACAGTTTGAAAATACAAGCTTTTAAGTCATAAAACCCAAGCTTGTGTTGAGACGGAAAAGTATTTTCTCAAACTACCAATCTGGGTCTTTAAATATATGTAAATTCGAACCTGGAAAATTGGAGTACAGGGTGGAATTTATAAAGATCCAAACCCAGAAGTTTTAAGTATAAAGTTTTAAAAAATAAACCAGAGAGTAGAAGAGATAAGCTATGACATAAAGAAAGCTACTGCTGCACAGGAAAAGACAAGACATTCTGGTGTTTGGAGGCAGAGCCTGGGGAATAAAGAACCGGATGGTAAGAAATCAGATTTAAATGCCTTTGCTGTTCCTGCCCCTGCCCTTTGTGGGGAAGGGAGATGGATTGCAGGGGTGGAGGTATATGATGGAAACATCCAGATAAATGGGGGGGTGGGGAGGAATCCCAGAGCAGCGGGGCTGTCTCTTGGCTTAGTGCATTCTAAGCTCCCTAAAGAGACCCCATGTCCAGCAGAACATGAGGGCAACATGGTGTTTCTCCCGGCCATAAAACAGAAATAGTCAAATTGAGCTGGATGTGCACCTGTAGTCCCAGTTACTAGGGAGGCTGAGGTGGGAGGATCGCTTGAACCCAGGAGTTTGAGTCCAGCCTGGGCAACACGGTGAGGCTCCTGCTTCAAAAAAAACAAAAGAAATGGCCAGATTGGTGTCCAGACAAATGGACCAGACAGCATCCAGACTCCCCAGAGGTTATGCAAAGCAGCTAAAGAGTCCAAATGGTCCTTCTGCCCTAGCCAGAAGATAGGTAAGTGCTGCGGGAACTGATAAAATGGAAACAACCTTAGTACGTAAACAAAGAGGCCAGAGGGTACCAGAACCTAACAGAACATGGCAGTGGGTGACAGGATGGCAAACTTCGGCATCAGGTGCCAATAGGATCCCCAAAGGACCTGGAAGGATTGGTTCAGCAGTAGCACTAATGGACACCAGTGACCAGGCAGGAAATGCACAACCTCAGTAGGAGACCAGATAGCTCTCCCCAGATGCTGACCTGGTATGTGAGACTCCTAAAA